CATTAACTTATGCTTTATATTTGTAATGGTTTTTCATACCAAATTGTAATGATTTTCTTAGCTTCCATTCTATTAATCTATTAGACTTGCAGTTACCTAATATATTTATTTATTGTGATATTCTCCGACAAAAATGAAACATATTAATGTAATTTTTTCTACAGTAAGAGCATTTTAAAATGGTTATGAACGGTATCAAAATTCTTCATTGGGCGTTCTACTAGTGAAGACGTTAGGTCCTAGAGAGTGAATGAACGGTTATGAATGGTATCAAAATTCGTCATTGGACGTTCTACTGGTGAAGATGTTAGGTCTCTAGAGTGAATTTTGAGATTCCACCTTCGTTAAAGAGAGAACCAAACTTTTTTTTTTTAAAAAAGTGAAAATCTATATAGCAATTATGAGGCTGATAACTATACGTAATTGGCCAAAACATACCATATTTACTGATTAGATAAATATTTACGGAATTAGGATCATCTTACCTGTTAAGATGAAAATGGATTAATTGTTATGATATTCATATTAAAAATAAAAATAATGTTTAGATTATTTTGTCCAAATATATCCGTGGAACTAAAAAATATTTTTGAAATATATATATATATTAATAATAGAATATTTAAAATTTTAAAATTTTCTTAGACCATTTTATATAACCATTAGACATATTTTTAAAAGTTCATATATATAATAATATATTAGATATAAATGTAAATTGGATCATGAAAAGGATTATTATTTCAATATAAATAAATTTAGAAAAAAAATTTCATGTTTGATTCGTTAATATTTTCTAGCGATAACAAATATAAAATATGATAATATCAATCTTCACATAATATATAATATCTCTATTAACTAATTATATTAAATAAAATACCTAAAAAATCGTTTCAATCTATTAATTTTTTAAATTTGCAAATATAGAAAAAAAATATATATATAAATCTAATTTACTTTTTTTTTCATAAGAAATTTGAATTTTGAAATATTAAGTGTATCATATATCAAATTTATTGTTTTATGGATTTAACTCGAGTCATTTTTTATTTTATATTCAACTTTTAATAGTTTAATTTACCGTGTTACGTAAGAAATTGAACTAATTAAATATATTGCAAATATAAGAAAAATTATAAATCCAACTCTTAGAAAAAAGACTCAACACGGACGAGTTAAGGAGAGGAACGAAAATTGGTTAAAGCTCAAATCCCTCTAGTCGACTAAGGTAAGGAGCCGAGGTCAAGTCCATGGTTACATGCATGCCTTTAGTCCATGGCTATACTCACGTTCCTAAAAGTTTAACAGGTCCCTCGAGCGTGATTAGCTCTGCATTCTACTTATTCACTTCAGAATTTATTGCTTCAATTATTGACTCGTCTTTATTAATGCTCAAAATCCATTGACCTTCTTAGCTCCCGTCCCATAAGTTAGTCTACAAAAAGTGATGTCATAAACTTAAAATATTGTTAAATAGGTGATTATTATTGGTATTTATTTAATTTTTAAAATTTAAAGAATTTTATTATTTTTATTTTTATCTTATTTTAAACTACATTTTAAAAAACAAGTCAATTTTTTTTTTATTAAAAGAAAAAAACAAGTTTTTAAATATTTTCTTAAAAGATGAAATTTTAAAGTAGGGTATAAGCGTAGACCATAGGGGGGGGGACAAGGGGGCAAATGGTGGGGCCCACTTGTTGGACTTTATAAACATGTAAACCCACGCTTTAGAAATTAAAAATGGGCCTCGTGGGCCCAACTTTCGAAAGCCCTGGCCCGCTAATACTTCCTAGTGGGCTTCCATTCATTAGTGCCTTTTGTTGTCCTAGTCTTGTCCATCTTAGTTTGCTTTACAAAAATATCATTTTTTTTTTTTACTTATTCATCTTTTAAAAAAAAAAAAAAAAAAAACATTATTTAAAATTGCACATAAAGGGAAGAATTTCAAAAGAGAAATTATCCCTTTAAAAAGGAAAATTGTTAATAAATTTGGGCATGAATGGCGATCTTATCTTCTTCTATCTTCTTCTTTACTCGACAGTGATGGTTTTATTTTTCTTTTAATCAATATTTATTATATCTGATCTTACATTTACAAAATGATCGGTTCAGAATCAATTCTGGAGCGTAAAAAAAAGTTGAGTTTTCACCTATAGTAAAATACATGAGAGTAAGTCTTGGAGAATCGTGTAGGAATTCTCGAGCCACTGTAAAAACCTCCATTATCCTTTATTCATGTACGTTTGGGTATAATTGAAATTTTACGAAAAGGTGAGTGGGTAAATTGAAAATATAAAACTAATTGTTTTTTTTTTTAATATTCGAATATTAAAATGAAAATATATTTAGGAGACAAAAAAAAAAAAAAAAAAAAAAAAAAAAAAAAAAAAAAAAAAAAAAAAAAAAAAAAAAAAAAAAAA